ACACAATTTGACACCTGTGCTTTTTAACAGAAGCAAGTTCTTTTTCAGATTTGTTTATGTTTTTTTTCTACTTTTGTAACACAACATATTACGGTGAACAAGTAGTGGGGAAATGACCTTCTTCCTAATTGTTTGTTAGGTCCGCTATTTGTGGCATTCGTTTGTATCTACTTGATGATCCCCAACCCACTGCATAGTGATTGTTTCTGATGTTCATTTACCACCCCTTAATTGGACTAACTGTAGCACATTTGGGTTAGGACACCTCCGTTGACCGGGTAGCTCAGCCGGTCAGAGCGATAGTACAACAATCTGAGGTTCGGGGTTCGAATACCAGTGTTGTTCCACCAAATCTTAACAATCAAAATATTGATAATGTTAGTGATTATATTTCATTTCCTCGTTTTCTTCATAAATGTCCTGCAAGTTGTGGGTTTATTTTCCAAAATGATTTATCAAAGCTATACTCATTACTCATGCCGGGATAAAACAAAAATTAAACAAAACAGTTTTAGCAGTGGTACAGGGATCCTTCAAATTCTGATTGTGTCCTTGTGCATTGATGCTATCATATGTTTTCTATGACAGTGAATACCACTATAATGATCAAGTTTAAACTAAATTGCAATCTTTTCTAAATAACATTATTATTTCATGGACAATCAAAATGTAGTTCCGTATATTTATGTATATATATACATTCATGTTATGGTGCATCATAGCCAGCCTAGAGATAAAAAAAGATCACAACGACAGAGTCAGATATCAACCAACAATGTTATGATGCAGGACATATGAATGCATATATGAACATAAAAGGATCAAATGTTTGAATTATTCTTCGAAAATAGGACAATGTTAATTAAGTTGAGGAATGTTTGGTGCTATCATAAAATCTCACTAAACCTTATCTTTAATCCAGTTTTGATTTATAATCTAAGTATCAGTGATGCAAAAAATCGTTTGTTGTATATATATATGATGTAGTTAAAGCGCCATACTGACTATCAGCTAATACTAAAGGCACGGTTTTTATTGATCAGTGCATGAGAGGGAAGCTTGAGACAGCGCTTTATTGTTCTGATATGAAGAAATGACAAAGGCTGATGGTTAATTGTTTTTTGAGTGCACCTTAACCAATGTCAAATTTGATACATACATCAATCGTCTGCATACACTTGTCAACGTATCTGCTGCACAAAAACCTTACAATGATGAAGACAAAAAATATGACAAGTTGTCCTTGTAGTAATGGTCCTTACATCGATTATCCTGAACATGGGCTGCATTTCAAGTAAAATATATATGACTTGTATAACACCAAAAATGCTGTTGTGTAATACAACAATTAAAAATGCTTGAAATAGCAATTACTATTGTTTCTTCAGACAAAGAGGGTTTAAAGGATAGAAAGGGAACTGCTGATAAACACTACAAACAACGTACAGAAACCATCAATCATTTCTTTGCCACAATGATTTTGGCGAGTTGTATGACTCATCATGTAACAAGTTGGGTTAGTTCTCTTTTTACGATGCCGATATATTATGAATTTGAATTATTATAAAGGTTGTTCGCTGTCAACTAATCTATGTATCTTAACTGCAAGACAGAAGGACACATTTCAGCGGTGCACATGTACTTACTAAACCTGTACATGACATTGCATCTATAACACTGCCGTCCTGGACAACAAGGATATCACAAAATACATAGTATGAGTGCATAACAAGATACATTAGGTTGCTTGTGTTAAATCGATTTTCTAATGTGCAAATGTGATACTTTTAAGTTTTTGCTTTACATGTCCCTAGGTAGAACATGACCAATGATTTTTACGGAGTCATCTTGTAATAAACTGCATGACTGAAGCAGACGACAACGATGGGTTGTTAACTTGCGAATCTTAAGTATTTTTATTATTGTTTTATTTAATGATTGAATCTTGCCTTGGTCGATTTCATGGGGTGATGAATTGAGTTGGTCTTGAAACAGATTTAATGAACTGCGAAGCAATTCATGTTGAATTTGTTTCAAGACCAACTGAATTCATCACCCCATGAAGTCGACCAAATCAAAATACAAACCTTGTATTTCAATCAGCGTGTGTTTTTTCAATAATTGTAACTTGTGAAGTCCATTCTGATAGTTTGTCACAGGTTCTGGAGCTTGTGCAAGTCTACGTATTGGGAAATACAGTCCGTCATTGAAGGAGGATGATGTGTGATAGTTCAATACAGCAGAATTATGTAGAAACAAAATACATAACCATATTTTAAATGTCATATTTATTTTTTGTTGATTAATTCATAAGATATCCAATTTTCTGACGTGTCATCACGGAAGAATAATGTCCTGACGCGGTGTGCAGGCTCAGCTGAGAGTCTTCGGCAGCCATCTTGAAGTGGAGAGCCGCTAAATTTCGAGGTTCTACATTCTGGAATGTGAAGCTGCAGTAATTGAATGTCGAATTAGACAGGAAACCAGACGTTGCTCGGAAAGGACGAACCAATTTCCTATGGCAGTTGGCTGTTCGACAGCATTTCATATAAGATGGGACCACATGGATCTACGTTGTTTTCGATTCGTATCTTGGGTTGATCACAGGGGCTCGTTACAAATGTCTGAAATACACATATGCTATACTAATATTGTTCACAGCACACATATGCTTTATTGATATGGGTGTATGTTTATGTGTGCTGTGACCCATATCAGTATAGCGTATGTGTGCTGTGACCCATATCAGTATAACATATGTGTATTTCAGACATTTGTAACGAACCCCTGTGGGTTGATACTGACACAAGAGGCAGAATGGGTTAGTTGGAGGGAGAATGTATAGGGCAGCACATCATGACCTGCCACTACCGCTAGTAACAGCTGGTAATATTTTGCTGATTTATCGTTTTTGGTTGTTTTAACAATTTATTGTGTACCTTCAATATAAAATGTAAAATCTCACCAAGTGGTAGACTATCTTCATGTTAATGTTAATCTGGTCAAATTCATCGGCAAATGAAATAGGTTACATTTGGTAGTTGCATTGAGTCCAACTTGAGTAAGAATTGAAATTTTACATCATGATAACATGTGTAAATCACATTTCACAATGCAAGGGCGAGGCAGGTATTATTCAGTAGAAGGCTGATGGAGTGTTATTATTTGTAATTTATCACTCTTACAGTAAGTAAACCAGAAACCAGTGTTGACAGAAAGTATTGTTAACCCTATCACCCCTATATAACTTAAGTACACTCAACCAGGCATTGATCTGGACTGGTCCATTATGGTCTACTGTGATAAAAGGGTTAATTTACATTTGTAAAGTTCTAATTTCCTAGTGACGTGTAATGGACTAACTCTATGTACAACATGTTCCCTTCAGAACAATCCTCCCCATTATTCAAATTGCAGGAAATACGCTCATTTACGTTTCTGCACCCCTAGAATATGTGTACGACATGACAATGGGAAGGACATGCAGACTGCCTCGGGTTGTAAAATAACGTTAGAATTGACCGGCCTTGAAGCTGGCTATCGCTCCTCTGTAGTTATAAAACGATAAGTATCTACCTGAATCCAATCTGTGCCCTGTCAACAATGGACAAAATGTTATAAATCTACACCCAAAAACAATCGCCATATTTGTTCGCCTCGGACATAATGCCATATCTACCCACCCTATACGAATATCCTTTTCCTTTCATTTAAATAGCTTTGTTTTAAATGTAGGTGGAAGGGACGCAACTCGCCATCAGTAAATTGATTATTCGGAGACATCCATATGTATTCTAATTATATATATCATTTCTTAATAAGACATTCTAATAAATTCATGATGAATCGGTAACATGAACAAATGAATGAATGAATGAAAAAATAAACAAATAGGAAAGAAATCGGCCGATATTTATAGTACTTGCTTTAAATCGTTGAGTTGTCATAAATATAAATAAATGGTGGTTTTAAAGGAAAAAACATCACAGGCGTTTCATCAGTCAATATGATAATATTTAAAGCAAATTCCTTCGCTCGGCCAGATAACGAAGACTATCTATAAAGAAAAATGGGGAACATTTGACAGCCCCTATTTTCTGCACCTTCGATTCGGTTCTAGTGTCCATAGATTATACTGTAGTTATTACTTACGGGTACCTATATATACTTATATAATGCACATCCAAGGTCACTATCGCTCCCCTTTTTGGAATTTACGAAGTCGTGTCCTTTGTAGTTGTGATTATAATATGGTGAGTGTCATAATAAGCTTTTGTGGCACCTAGAATATTTTGAGTTGTCATACCCTTGTTTTGTAAAACAATCATGTACAGTCTCATATCGGAGTAAACCGTTAATAACTTTGTTTTTTAATATTTTCAATCACAAACTTTTCCTAACTTTTTTTTGTCATTTATTTAATATCTTTTTTTTTTTTTTTAGATCGTAAATGCAAAAATTAATATATTTGAAATAATCAGCTCGATGTTAATAGTCACAACGAGTGTAGTTAAAAACTAGGTAACAATCTACTGCTAACAACACCAGTGTCCATTTGGATAGTGGCCTTTTGTTATCGTTCCTACTACGGTATTGGAAATCAATACCTTCTGCTGACAAATTGTAATGATGACTAGAAACAGTCGCTTCACAATGCATTTTATGCCCGTGGAGAATTTTACTTTGCACGATATCCATCAAAGGGTTAACCGAATTGTATCCAATGATCATGAGTGTATAGTGAATGTCTCATTTATATATCATATACATTTTATTTATCAATATTTTTGACTGGATGCAAGATAAATTCAATAATCAGCAAAATAACGTTAGACATAAAGGAATGTACATGTATGTTAGGCAATGACGAAGTCGACGCGAAGCAATAATGGACTTTTAGAACGGATCAATATAGTCCGCACAGATAATGGCCACGGGGACCGGAGCTCTCCACACATAGGTTTACACCAACGCGTCAATGCTTAATGGCTTCTTGTTTACATAGTCAGTTGCTCTAGCGCATCCACGCTAATGATGTCTCAATTACTATAGTACACAAAGAATCGTGTATAAAGAGTAATCGACATTTTAATGACACCAGCGTATGTAAATATGTATTTCCATGATTCATATTTCTCTTGCGAAATGTCCATTAAGAGGTATATTTCATAAGCCGAACAGCGCTTGATCATTGACGTCATTATCGTCATTTCGATGCGTGATAAACCAGGATACCATCACCATGGAAATGCAAGGTAAGTACAATAATTTTCGTTAAAGATATGAAAAAGATTATGTCGATATCCTGTTGTCTGAACCATCAGTGGATGGAATCCCTGGGCAATGTCCACACCAATCCGTACACAGGCGGCCAGTGTCACGCTCTGGCCATCTGTAGGTAGAACCAAGCTGCGGTCCTGTTGTTGAATGTTCTCAAAAAACAGATGTACGGATATAATTGTTCATAAGTAAGACATCATTATGAATAAATACCGCACATTTCCCGTTAATTACAGTCCTACTGGTGCAACTAATATTTCAAAATTGAAATCGAAAAAAAAATATAATAGAAAGCGTTCTTTATAAACGTCTTGGTTTGAATTATTTCATATATATTTTGAACTCAATACCGAGACGAAAAATCAGTTTAAGGTATAGTTACCTTTTACTTTCAAATGAAAGTATATTAGAATATAAAATGTAAATATATTATAATATAGAATATAAAATGTAAATATATTATAATATAGAATATAAAATGTAAATATATTAGAATATAGAATATAAAATGTAATATACTGCAACAAAACAACGTTTATGCATCTATTAAGAGAGGGTTGGGAATATCTGCTCTAAATAGCTGTAACGGTGCATGCACTAGGGTACTTCGTAGAGCTGAAGAGAAACAGTTATGGACTGATGTCTAGAGTTAGGGATGTAGGATAAAGATCTACCGTATAGTTGTATATAGTTCGAGATGTAGGATATAGATCTAAAGTATCGTTGTATAGAGTTCGAGATGTAGTATATAGATCTAACGTATCGTTGTATAGAGTTCGAGATGTAGGATATAGATCTAAAGTATTGTTGTATAGAGTTCGAGATGTAGGATATAGATCTAACGTATCGTTGTATAGAGTTCGAGATGTAGGATATAGATCTAACGTATCGTTGTATAGAGTTCGAGATGTAGTATATAGATCTAACGTATCGTTGTATAGAGTTCGAGATGTAGGATATAGATGTAGTTGTAGTGAGATAACAATCTCTATATTGCTATCTAGGATTGGAGGGAAATATATCTCCATTTTTTGTATAGTTAATATGGCTTGGGATGGGAGCGAGGAAGTATGTCTGTTTGTAGAACTTAATAAGACCGGGGTGTTGTATACAAGCATTGTGGTAATGTAAGATTTGGGCTACGTACAATATACTTTAAAGATGATGTCTACATTGTATTGTTAAAAAAGATGTTTACTTCAATGAGTGTAATAGGCTTAGGATGCTTACTCTGTATAGCTGTGGAGGATTTGGTATGTGTTTATACCGTATGGCGTAAGAAACGATCCAGTGGATTGGACTCCTGTTTAGTGTTGTCAAGGGGGCCATTTAGCGGCAGTGCCAGTAAAACCTCTGTCAGGATGGTAGCTCGAGATTCACTTTGTAACATTATTTAAATATCTCAGTGTGCTTCATGTGAATTGCTTTATGTAGGCTAATGCAAGTTGATGCTTCTGTCGGGACGTAAGTACAGGACTAACATATATGTCACTGCGTTTGGTTTAAAGAGTGTCAAGGGGATCATTTAAGAAGTAAGTGCCCCTTAACCCTTTCACCACTGTAAACCATAATGAACTCATCCATATAAATGTATGGAAGAGTTTACCGAAGTAACAAAGGGGTGAAATTTGTTAAGCTTCTGTTGTGATGGTAGCTTTTGTGAAACAACATTATTTGTATGTGTCCGTTGTTTATTCCAAAATTGATTAACAAATGGCATGCGATGAGTCACAAACTACGCCAATAAGGAATGACACCATGTTCTGATGGTAAAGACTTTATGTAACACAACGCACAATAATCACATGTTACAACAAAATGGAATCAAGCCGGAAGAGGAAGTGTCCGGCATGGGTTCTCTTAGCAGTTCGTGACGAGGCCGCTTGATATAAGAGAAAGAAAATAACGTACTGGCGTGATTGTCTTTATCTCTAATATGTCCTTTTGAGATAATAACTAATCCTATATTAATGGCACAAGTATTCATGAAAACGAAGAAGATGAACACTCAATACAATAAGAAAACGATAACTAGGGTGCAGTGTATCTGTCCCTTAACCTGTCCTTTGCAAAATACATGCCTATACATGTACTAATAACACACAAAGTAGGTCAGTAGATGAGAGCAGTACTGAAAAAAGGTCACAGTTCACACAACGGTTTCATCAGCTGAGGTCCCAATCCTAGTTTTGCCAATGAGGAGTAGTACAAGAGCGGGTCGATCGACGAAGTGGAGACTCTGGCACACTTTGCGGAACAGAAGTCATCTGATCAGACGTATCAGGAACGGAGATGATAGCATCAGGTACAGGAGGCTGTGCAGGCGCGGGAGGCTGAGCAGGCGCGGGAGGCTGAGCCAACACAAGAGGGCTAAAGTGATTGCCGAGACAGTGCCTCCCTCTGGGGATAGGTGAAAAATCTCTAACCCAAGTTCCTCTACTGCACGCTCCGCGACTGGGTTCTTATTGGTGTTCTTCACTCTCCCAATCTCAAGGTGAATGCTATGGGAGAGAAGAATTTTGTCTTTCTGGAGGGCGCAGAAGCCAGGAGCGGGATCAATACGAATGGTAATGCCACCGTCGCATAATGAGCGTAGCTCCGCGGACATAATCAGGAGAGCGTTTCGAAGATCCTCATGCTTCTCGCTAGGGATCAATGAGGCTAATTTGTATGATGAAACCGTCTCTCTCAAAACTAAAATGTATTGACGGTAACGACACATCACGTCCGCAGCAAATGTCACTCCGACTGAGGTGGGTGCCTCAACGGAAGACTGAGGCTGAAAGTGCTTTGGAAAAGACTTTACAGACTGACAGAAATGGCAGGCAGAAGACACAGATGTATTGGCCTTGTCAACGTCCTGGGCAAAGAAGTACCTATTGAAAAGGCGCTTAGTCTGATAGCTAGACGGGTGGCTGAATCGGATATGCAAGGCTGTCAATAACCCATCAAGGGCCGTGCGTGGAACAACAATACGTTCGCGTGTAGGTTGGAACGGTTGAGAGTCTCTAACGACAAGCAGGCCGTCAGAAGCTATAACAACGTCCCTGAGGTAGCGCTTGACATCAGGGATCTTGGTGGCCTTCTTAGAAGGACGAGTACCTTGACTGAGTTGAGAGTGCACGCGTCGTAAATCTGGACACTCATGTTGTGTTGCGAGCCATGCGGCGCGGCTGGTAAACGGCATGTGGATTGTCAGTACAAGAACATCATTCACAGATACATCGCGGACGACAGAATCTTCCATTTCTGCTATAAACTTGCAAACCTGACATGAAGAGTCGAGACATTCGATGGGGTTCCTGCTGGCAAAGTCGGATGGGAGATTGGCGATTCCTGCGATATGGCGAACGTGTATAGCATAACGACTGACGATCGATAGGAAGGAAGTCACCCTCGAACTTGCAGAGAACTCGCCCCGCTGCAGCTTTTCATAAGCCTGGACACATGGTCTGCTGTCCGTCAGAACCTGAGTAGTACCCGAGGCTTGGATGATGTAGGGAGAAAAATGTTTTATGGCAGCTCCAATGCCCAAGGCCTCTATCTCGCAGGGTAGCCATAATACTTGATGCTTCCGTAATTTGGCATTGAAGAAGCCTGCCAACAGGAGTTTGCCGTTCCTGAGGATGTAGAGAGTGGCTCCTATTCCTCTGCTTTTGACAGAGCCGTCAGTCACGATCCATATCGAGTCACCAGGCTGAGGTAGAGATATGACCTTGTTACTGCCCAAGGCATGTTTAGCGCGGTTGAAAGAGTTAATGAGGTCATCCGACCATACTACTTTCTCCCTCGATTCTTTTCCTGCTGTAGCCTGATCTAACGGGTCGAGGAGGTCTGCATATCTGGGAACAGGCGACTGAGTACTTTGTATGCACCGATAAATGAGCGTAGGCCCTGTACAGTACCAGGGGGTTCAGTAGCTGATAAAGCCGCCACTTTGTGAGGGCTAGCCTGAAGAGTACCATTGGACCAAATCCAGCCTAAGACAACCGCCCTTTTCGGGCAAACTACAGTCTTGGACGCTGACAAACGAAGTTGTTTTTTTGTGGTAAGAGAAGGACACGTCGCCAAATGAGAAGAATCTCCTCATGGGTCTGGCCACCGATGTACAAGTCGTCAGCAATTTTGGCAACACAGCCTTCTTGGATCAGATCACCAAGGATCCTGGACATGAGCTTTTCGAGAGAGGTTTCAGATCCGGGCATACCCATGGCGGAACGAGTGTACACACGTATGCCCTTGAATGGAGTAGCGACGCCGCAGTACTTCATGGATGACGTAGCCAAAGGAATTTGGTAAAAGGCCTTAGCTAAGTCAGTAATGATCAAAAGACTCCATTTACCAATTTCACGCAAAATACCATCAACGTTGGGCATTAGCGAAGGTTGCGGCTTGCTGTACTGAGCAACCTCACCAAATGAAGTAACAAGTCTGGTTCCACCATTGGGTTTCCGTACCAGAAAGGAGGTGTTGAGATATTCAACCTGGACATTAACCTGCTCAGGTCTAGCGAAGACACCCATTGACTCCAAATCATCAAACTTTGCCTGTAACTCCTCCATGGTGCCCCTGTTGTATTGGGGAAGTCGTCCTTTACGCTGAGGAGGGAGAGTCCACTCGCGCCGTTATACTTGGAAATGGAGGGGTTGAAAACATCATCAAACTCGATGTGGAGTGACTTGAATCTATCGCGGGTGGTTGAGTCTAAACAGGAGTCGGGGTCAATGACGACATCACGTGAAAAGGGCTTTGCATTGGTAGAAGGCGTATCACGTACACTGGTGGAAGGTAGGGGGTCATATGGTACGGACTTTATAGGAGGACTGGTAACGTGTCTAATTTGGCAAAGCTGTTCACCACTTTTCAGCACAATAGGCGAGTCAGTAGAATTGATGATACGCACTGTATGATCCACGGAGAGAATGTCTTGTGGTGGAGGCCAGGCCTCCTCGCACGAGGAATGCACATTAGAAGGACTGTCCAATCTAGGCTCAAGGGCCCAAACTGCGTCGGGCTCCAAATTGCATGGTGTAGAGAGCTGAAGGTATTCACCAGGTAAAACCACAGTGCGTTTGGGATTGCGTAGTAAGAAAGCCTGGGTACGTCGCACGCTGGAATGTGAAGATCGACTAGGTGAACCGCCGTAATTAATAACCTCAGTACCATTTATCACGATCTGCCGTTTCGCTGGGCGAACGCCAATGTCATTTCGGGACATAAACGGGTTTCCTGCCAGAATATCGACATCCAACTGTCGCACAACTAGAGCATCGAGCTCAAAGTTAAGTTTTCCTCGAGTGATGGAGCAGTGCACTTCTCCTACAACATCCATGGGAGTAACACCGTCTGCCTGACGAGCGACCTGGGACGCTGGGGTAATTGGAAAACCAAACATACGGGCAGCAGATGCCCGGACCATGTTAGATGTAGCGCCGGTGTCCAATGTCAGCTTTACAGGGTGTTCATTGAAAAATGTAAGGAGAACCGGGGATTGAACGATGCTCACACGGTGGGCGACAGGCCCTTCAACGCTCATTGACTGAGCGATGCTGTCGAAATCAGAGTCTATGACTTCATTTTCTTCCTCGTGACAGGATTCGGCATCACCCTCGGTCACAAGACGCGAGCGACTTATGGACTTCCTGTCACGTTCAGGAAGGAAGCGACAATTCATGAGATCATGTGTGGTATAGGGTCGGTTGGCTGTTTTGCATAAGATGCATGACAATGCGGGTCTCTGCCGTGATCTGTCCTTACTCTTGAAACCGTACCCCTTTGAGAATGTGTTGCTGACACGCANGACAATGCGGGTCTCTGCCGTGATCTGTCCTTACTCTTGAAACCGTATCCCTTTGAGAATGTGTTGCTGACACGATAGCTTTGGTATCCTCTATACAGCGAGGGCTTGAGAAATTTCAGGCTTTAATGAGGCGAGTGACTAATTACGAAGCTCAGAACCATATTTCTGCTTCACAAGAATGGGTAGGCATGGATGAACGAGTTGGAGCCATATGACAACAATGGTGTTCTCCAGAGTGGGAGTAAGATCCTCGTCTACCTCAACAGCTTCACCGTGATGTGTAACGCCGCAGTTGGCAGTAAGTAAATTGTCCTCAAAAAATGCTGTAGGCCGTTGGAACAGATCCTCAGGTCTTTCGTCTGGCTGTAAAAATATGCTCAACAAATCTAGCTTTGTTCTGGAACATTAACCGCGTCACTACCGGAGAGTGTATCAATAGGCTTGAAGGGCTACTCAAATTAAATCATTTAAAATAAGCTTTCTAAAGGAAAAACATATTGTTATTCACTGTACATTTTACAAACTTACTCATATACTGTATTGATGTAGATTCAATCAAATATATTACCCCAGCGACAACGGCTACCGTAGCTACCGTCGTTCCTGTAGCAACCCACTCAGACATTTCTTCCTTTATGCAGTATTTGAACATTTTTTGGAGTGTAAATATAGAGATTGACCGTAAGTACCGTCGTACCTGTAGCAACCCACTCAGACATTTCTTCCTTTATGCAGTATTTGAACATTTTTTTGGAGTGTAAATATAGGGATTGACCTTCATATTGACGGCACATATGATAGTATGAACGCAGTTGGCAACGAACATATTTGTTGGAAAGTTAAATTAAAGCGCTCAATAAAGGAAATGTTTGTGGTCAACTAAATGTACGTTCATACTGCCGTATGCGACATCAAACTGAAGGTCAATATTTATATTTATTTTAATCCGAGAGTGATTATCTTCATACAATGTTAACCATTTATGCAACCCATATCATGATATCAGAAAAAAAAGGTGTCAATAGAGACCGATAATTGTGTTATTCTGAACATGTGATTTGATTTGCACTCTCTTATGTTAAACCAAGACAAAGTTCATTGATTCGATTACAAATGTACATGCAGGTCTCGCGTCACATTTAACTACTATAAGATGTACTTGGCAGGAATTTTACGCATAGACATTTGTATATTTTCCTCAGAAACCTATGGCAGATCGTCCAATGCTCAGCAACATGACGGTGACCTTGGCTGCTGTGGCTATATCCTCATGTTCCTCTCCGGCTGTCTGGTTGTCCTCCTTTTCCCGTTCTCATTGTTTGGATCCGTTAAGGTATGAACTGCTGTTGTTGTCTATCGATTTGAACAGCTGGGTTTTTTCAGGGTAACATTTGCAGTTGGTATCCTTCCAATGTAACTGTTGAGCTCAAACAAGTTAAGTTTCGCTTTAAGTATCTTGTTTTCTAAATGTTAGGCTTCATCAAGGTGAGGTTTGCAAAAACAATGTTCGTTTTCTAGCTGATTTCCTCCTTTAAGGAAAACATCCTTTCTGAATGTTTGTTTCCATAAGAAAAGATATTCTTCTTCTGTAATGACAAAAAGAGTACATTCCGACTCCCCTCTTTATCTTACTTACTTTTCTGGCCACTCTTTGACTTGAGCTCCGTCAAAGTAAGAACTGTTTTGATGTTTTCTTCCTTTTACTCTTTCGCTGGCCGTCCATGGTGATATACATCACTAAGTTAAACTGCGGCGAAAACTCATCAATATACAATATTTCTACCATTAAAATCTTTGTGTTTGAAAAATGTACTAGTAAAGTTTCGTGATTCTATCACTTCAAGCGCACTGGTTTTAATATCGGTAATTTTTATTAAGGATAGTGAAGTATTGTATATATTGATTGTGTGTATCAGGTTGTACAGGAGTACGAGAAGGCAGTCATCTTCCGACTAGGTCGTGTGGTGTCCGGTGGAGCCAAAGGGCCAGGTATATGCTTTCAGAAATACATTTCTAAAACCATGTAATTTTTTGTCTGATAATCATTGAAAGTTATAGCACTTCTAAAGTCACTTTGTCTAATGGAGTAGAGTGAGGGAAATTGACGAGTGGTGAAGGTGTCTATGATTATAAGTCCTCCACCACTGAGTCGATGGTTCAAGACCTACGTGGGGTTTGTTTTGGTTTGTTTGTGTTTTACGTCCTATTAACAGCTATAGTCATTTAAGAACGTGCCAGGTTTTGGTGGTGGAAGAAAGCCGAAGTTCCCGGAGAAAAAGCACCGACCGACGGCCAGTACCTTGCGATTGCCCCGCGTAGGTCTCGAACCCGCGACCCAGTGGTGGAACGCTAGTGGTAGCAGAATGTCAGACGCCTTAACCACTTGGCCACCGTGGCCCCTTCCTATGTGGGGCAATCGTTAGGTATTGGACGCAGGTCGATGGGTTAATTTTCCTACTAATTCGATTTTTCCCTCTATTACACTGTAAAATCTGGTTCGCCCTTACATGAGCAAAGCTCTAAGTAGAACATAAAGCACAGAAAACAAATTAAATAACCCCTTTCTGATGTCGCTACATTTAATTTAGTATTCCATTCGTAGTACCACTCCGTCTACTTTAGTTGAATTATTGACCCCTTTATAACGTCATTCCGGACTTGGACATTACCGATTTATTTACATTGTAGTGTAGGTTTATGACTGAAAAAATGCATTGAAATATATTTTCTATAAGATAACAAATAAGGAATGATGGTTGACACAAACCCTCCCTGCAGAAATGGCAGAATATTAAAATCAAAGCATTGCTGCTAGATTCCAACCTGAACTGGTTTACACAAGTGTGTGCCAGATTGCATGAAACAGGCCTTTTTATGAATAAATACTGAATTACATCATTTTAAAACACGAAAAATAGCATCTGTAAAGGATTGCAGTTTGGACAATCTTATTGGGATTTTCTTGAAGCAGACTATGTTTCATAAACTTCCACTCACAATGTTTAGTAATATTCTGTAATAGAAAATATAGGTTGATACTGTTGAGACTGGTGTGTGCCTCATCGAAAGCAGCTAGTAGATACTAATCATGTTGTGTCACATTTTTCTTAATTCTCACAGGACTCTTCTGCCTATACCCATGTATCGATGACTTCAAGAAGGTGGACATGCGTACTTTAAGCTTCGACGTCCCACCTCAGGAGGTATGTAAATTTCTAGCCTTAATATGAAAGGATATGATCAACTGATCTTTAAGACCAGTGTATTGCCTATAGTATTATACTAATATTGTGAAGAGTGTGGTTTCAGCGGTGATTGGCGAAGAACTTAGCTTGATTATTGGAAAGTTTCCGAAATATTGCATATCAACAAAAGAATATTAAAATATGCATATATATTTATTTATTTTTTTGAATAGCAAGCTGTTTACTTTATGAAGCATTTTTTTCAAATGCTGTTAAAGCTGAAATTCTCGCGTGTGATAATTTGAACCGATCGCGGTGTGGATGTAGTTGCTTTGACAATGGTTCTGATATGTTCTATGTATCTAATTTTGTATTATTCCTTTATTAACCAATTACTCAACGAAACACAAACAAGCACAATTGCGCACAGTTCAACTTTTAACAGTATCGCCACTGACGGTTTCCATGCTTCTCTCAAACGTTTCTCTGTGTCGTTTGTTGAATGTTTTGTCTGAAATCTTGGTAAGCAAATGTCTTAATTGCCCTTGTAGGTCTTATCGAAGGATTCGGTGACGGTGTCCGTTGATGCTGTGATCTACTGTTATGTATTTGACGCAGTGATGTCCGTGTGTAACGTCCAGGACGCTTTCGCGTCGACCAAGCTGTTGGCCGCAACTACTCTGAGAAACGTCCTGGGCACAAAGAATATGGCCGAGATGTTGTCTGACCGGGACTCTATTACACGACAAATGAAGGTTTAATTTGTTCCCTTATTTTCCAATTTTCAAAATTCTCAAGACAAGATATGTTTATTCTTAATAATGTGGTTAACAAACATACAAAACTTTGGTGATATTTGAACGTTTCTGATATTCAAAACTACGTTTCGTACGTAAACCAGTCCGTCTCACACTGTACATAGAGGACTTTTGTGTCCAATTATCGCCCGTACCCAAACTGTAAGATGTGTGCTTGATATGTTGGTTCGAATACTCGCCAAGTCCTTAATTTCGTTTTATCGTGTGTTCTAAAAACTGCCAGGGCTATTATTAGGGCCAGAACGGTAATACTTCTTATACTTGTTCAAGTATCTCCATGAAAATCTTACCCTGTTTGTATATTAACTTAGATTAATCGATTTTGGGTCCCAAATTCGATTTTGTTCACTCTTTAGTGTTTTCCTATCGCTTTGAAGTAACACGTTTTAGTTTAAATAACATATTTCATAAAACTGGTCCTTTTTATTAACTTAGCAGTCTGGAATGATTTAAATTTTATCAATGACCACCATTACATCTGTTTTTACTCAATATTTTAAATTTTACAGCAACTTTTGGACGAGTCGACAAAACCTTGGGGTGTGACAGTGGACCGTGTGGAAATGTAAGTCCTCCATGATACAAACTTTTGAGGTCTGCCGGGTTTGATACAAAATACAAAAGTCTGCTGAGTCTGAGTAAAAAATACAATTGCGTTCTTCTTATGCGCTTGAAATCAATTTTTCCCATGAATCTTTTCGGACTGCTGATTTTGGACTTTAAGTTAATTAATTCGTTTACGGTACAAATATCCGCATATTCATTGCAGCCATAAATTTCAGTGTTATATTTCCATTTTCAGGAAGGATGTCAGACTTCCACACCAACTACAAAGAGCTATGGCGGCGGAGGCAGAGGCGTCCCGAAATGCCCGAGCTAAGGTTCGAATGTCATTTCCAGTTGATCTTAGTATAATTTGAAAAATATTTACAAGTATTCTACTGTTTCTAAATAATAAGGACCGGCCACAATATTAAAATGTGATTTATATTCCAGATCTTGCGATATCTATACCATACCATGTGAATTATATTCGTAATGTGTTACAATCATTCGCAATATTGTTATTTGGATTCGAAACTGTTCAAAAATATAACTGTTTTACATTCGAAAACTTGTACTCTACATTCAAACCTAATGTTTGTTCGAAACTTGTGATGAGTATACATGTTTTTATTGAAAACAATATTCATCTTTGAAGTCTCTCCATAATTCTTCCAATTCATTTATGAAATAAGGTTTTATTAATTTATCTCCGTAACAAGAAATAGGGCTCGAGTACAGAAGCGTAGTTTCAGCATGAAAACAGATCCATGAAGACGGACTCTGATTTGGGGTTGTTTGGATATGGCTGTGATTTTCCGTTAATAACTTTGTAGTGATAGTGATGGTTTAGATTTGGCTGCGATTGCCTGTAATAATCTCATATTTAGTGAATAGTTTGATAGCAGGTTTTATGGATGTTTGGACATGGCTGTGATTGTTTAGTTATGATGTCTAGCCATTCCAAACCTCGACGTCATAAGAAGTACTTTAAAATAACTTCATGGTGTTTTCAGTTCAATGCACATAAAAGCACTCGTTATTAGATACTGTGTTTAAAACCTGGTTTAAACAAGTCTATGTATGGCTATACATGACTTTAGAAAGTCTAGGTATGAACGTGATTGTCGGGTAACAATTTTGTATTTAATGGCTGTGTTTGGAAGCGGGTTTAAACAATTTGGGCGTGGTTTCGAGGAGTTTGAGGTTATGTTTCTAACTTGAGTTAGATAAGTTTGGATACAGCCGTGATTATCCTGTAATAGAATTGCATTTATAACTGTTTGTCATTTAATTTAGGTAAGCTTTGATATGCTGCCATTGTCTTTGTATTAATTTGATATGTTTGGAATCTAGTTTCGGAATGTTTTGAATACGGGTTTGAGAAGTTTGGATCTAGCTTTTAATGTCCTGTAATAGTCTTGTATTTAGCGACTATGTTTCTAAGTCGATTTATGAAAATTTGGTTCTTGATTTTGGCGATGTTTCGGTCCTGATTACGTAAGTTTGGATATGGTTATGATTGCCGTTAATTAGCCTTGTATGTAGTGACATTGTTTGGGGCAAGTTGTACATGTAATGAAGATGTTTACTTTAATTCTCTTGTGATACCTTTGTATATGTTGTCCCTGTTTTGTCGCATGCCAGGTGATAGCTGCGGAGGGGGAACAAAGTTCGTCCCGGGCTCTGAAGGAAGCAGCCGACATCATCACACAATCACCAGCCGCCATACAGCTGCGGTATTTACAGACACTCAATTCCATCGCCAGCGAAAAGAATTCAACCATCGTGTTCCCCTTGCCGATAGATCTCATCGGCACACTAGTCGAAAAGTGAGACTTCAACATCATTAAAATAACTATTTTCATTGAACAACATCGCCATTTTCAAATTTATTGAGCTATCATCATAAAATGGGAATTATATTTACATTAAGTTTAACAAGAAAAAAGATCGAAAGGCGACTTTAAAAAAAGCCACGATAGCTAATATGTAGGCAGAGAGCCGAACATTATTTAATGAACTATTTTCATTGAACAACATTTTTAACATCGCCGTTTTAAAATTTATTGAGTTATCATTAGAAAATGGGAATGATATTTACATTAAGGTTTAACCCGAAAATATCGAAAGGCGACTTTAAATGACCCCACGACAGAGTATATGTATATTTAGATATAAGGAACCTCAGTTAAAGCTGTTAAAGATGAACGTGATACACAGTTGCACCTATAGATTTATTTGGCAATTAAAACAGTAAATGAATTGCACTGCACTACACAGCTATTTCGTCCTTCTTTGACTCAAAGGTGATGCTAGGGACCAAAATTCAAATTAGTCTAAACTACTATTCAAACAGAAGGGGAGAAGATTAAAACCCTTTAATCATACGGCTGTAATAATATGAAATTCCATACGTAACGGAGTACTGGATACTTTTCTAATTAATAATGAGCTAGTGTATAATTATAAACTGTGCTGCTACCCTAAAGAGATAATTACAATGAAACAGATCGATGTAAAAATAGTGTGTACCAATGCATTTAGGCTGATGCCTTCATCAAAATAGTTCACGGACATTACATGTATTACATATCAATTTATTTTGTTAACAAAAAGTGTTTATTACAAAACGACACATTACATTAAGACCATGTATACCTAGGTTATCAGGAGATAAAATTATCTTTCTCTAGCTATGAAGAGGCATACTGGATCCAAACACTCAAAAAACATTTATTCTATTTTTACCGGAGAAATTTTTCGAAACATTTTCTTTAATTTGGTGAGTATTTATACATATATGGTGTACATGTTCATATAGCACTGCTATATTTCTGATCTTAAGTAGATGTTTGTCTTCGATATATGCCCATAGGTTAATCTGTTCTTGTTTCATCGGAGATAAATTTTAGCATACACCTCTGATCTGTCCGTTATAATGTATTTAGAAGATAATGTGAACATATGCAAAGTTAGAGTAGGTATCTTTCATAAGGTAATTCATTTCCGTAGAATATGCTTTTCGGGATATTTGAACACATCAAGTATTGTACACCATCGTTTGATTTAGTGAATTCTTCTTACTAATACATTCTTGAAGATGTGTTTTTGACTTAAAACATAATTTGGCAATCTCAAGTAACCTGCAATTTTCACAAGAAGGTAAAAAAATGAAACAAAGAATAAACAAAAACACACCTGTATTGTTAAGGGTATGGTGGCAGACATTGTGGATGTCGTTGGTTTTCAATATGTGTGTTTTCCCATTTATTTCCTTTTTAAAGAATATTAGACATATCTTGCTTTTGAAACCAAGTCTCACACTTCAAGTCATAACTGAAATTTCATTTGAAATTTTGATTATTTATCATTTTAGCACATCATTATTTGGTGACGTGTTGCTGAAGGGTGCTTTTTTTAGGTGCCTTTGATCGGTATTTATTTAGATGTCTTATTTACTGTTAGATCTTGCTATTTTGTTGTACATGTTCTTACCAATAAAATGTTTTTCTTATAAGAATTGTCGGAAGCATTTTATTATTACATATCTCTAAATATATATATATATATATATATCGGTGGACAAAAAAAGACTACGTTTTATCATGTTTATTTAGCTAGAGTTTATTTTTTAAAAAGAGGGCATATCCTTACTTCACCTACATTTGTACGTGTTGACGTGTCGCAGTTGTCTCGGTATTCAAGACCGTGCTCCGAATATCACGATTTCGTGATTGATGTCGACTTCTAAAGGAAAGATTTATAACGCAGGGTTTCAATTAGTCCGAATTATTCTGACGTTTATATAAAATTATATAAAAGAAAAAAAAGTATCGACGACAGACCGATATGAAACAAGGTTACCGCGAGCGGTATATAATACGCCCGTCACACATTGAATGAGCAGTTGTTTGTATGATTGAAATATATGAAGTATTTGTGAGTAATTGATATTAAAAGAGAAATCATTCAACATAACTGGTAGATCAATGAGTGCAATACAACATCATGGAACGCATGCATCGCATTAATGAAACCAAGGG